AGAAGGGGCATGGGTGGGGGTTCAGTGCACCAGTGTGGGTAATCAAAGGTGTATGTTCCAAGGTGACATCATTTGCAAAGAGGTGTAAAGACGGATATCTTCGTTCTAGCTAGGCTGTATTGTCAAATATCAAACATTCATTCAGACAATCTTATCATTTATGAAAGTTTCATAAAATGTGGGTTGAGAAGGGGGAAAATGAATGCTGCCCTATTCTCTTTCGCCATTTGCATTCACTTTTGCTTTCAATATAAAATAATTTAATGGCACATAGTTTACTTTAGGTTGAAAATATTAATTTAGAAGTGGTCATTGATTTGTTATATAGCCTTACTAAAATGCTCATTAAATTCTGTTGACATTACTTGGGTGTGGCAGTGCAGTGCATATTGCAGTGACAACGGTACTCTTTCTATTTTCAGTGAACATGCATCAATGTTAAACTATTAAACACACATGTTTATGACCACAGTTTCCAGACGGGCCTCCAACACTTTTACAAATCTAATACAAAAAATAAGTACACTACATTGCATGCATATTATTGACTAAATTAAAATGAAATTATTTATGCTTGAAGAATGTATAAGATACAGAAAAAAACTTAATACATAACAAATGAAACAAGTGAAAAGGGTTGGGTACAGCACAAAACTATTTCATTGTCAGAAATGGCTGAAGGAAAGTTAAAGAAAATTTTACCAAAGACTTCACAAAGGATTTGAGCTTGATTGTGATGGAGTCATATCAACATAATATATGGTAATCTTTTTCTGAAGCTAAATTAGAATATTCTAGCAAACTAAATGGACCTGGAAATTAGTCCCTTGGAAGTGACATTTTCAGGCAAATAATTCATGTATATGAACATCAGAAACCATCCCCTTTATCATTCAAAGGAATTTATTTGCTTGTAGCTAAACACTAACAGTATCCTGGAGTAAATTAAAATTAGTGAATTTCAGTATGCAAGCTCACAATATTGCTATTAACATTTCTACAATAAATAAATTAAATACTATTTAGGATTACCATATCTTTACTTTAATTTCTATGATTCTAAGACAAACAAAAAACGAAAAATTATGTTTGCTTTTTTTGTGGGTTTCAATGCATATAATATGCTCAGAGTCAAAATTCATAAGGGGGAAAACTTACAAAAAAGAGGTATATTTTCAGAATACTATTTCATAGATTCAAATGGATATTACTTCAGACTACAGGGTGCTTGTTAAATATATTACTCTCAAATTACTATTACCGTATTTAAAAGCACAATCCACCGACTAACCAAATTACCTTAGTAACTGATTTTTACATTAAATCTATCATTTTAATACTAACACATACTAATAAATTCATTCATATCACAAATAACATTAGAGATTGTACATATATTACTTCAAATGAAGGTGAACTATGGTTCATTACAAAGTGGTATGATTATAGACATTGGTTATTAATATTTTTTTCTTTTCCAATTTAATTTTCAACAACGACAGAGAATGATACATTCTACAATGATCACTACACAAATGTCTGCAGCTGATTTGAGGGCTTTTTTAATGAACATGTATTCTATGTCTTTGTGTTTACACAGCAATTGATTCTTAGGGACGTGAAGCTTTGCATGTTTTTGTTTTACTTCTTTTATTATCAATATATTCAATACAGCATTTAAGCATGAACAGTTTTCAAGGTAGAACAAAAAGTCTGGTTTACCACCATTCACGTGATAGATAGTTATATTCAATGTTAACATCCTCAGCTTATAAGTATAACAATCCTCAATGCTTTTTTAATGTTTTTATTAAAATCTCAGCTTTTTGGTGAAAAAATGGCCAGAGAAATGACTTTTTTTTTAAAATTTCTTCACAACTTTGAAGAACATGACAGACACACACAGCATTTTAGCAAATTGAAGAAGCTATGAGGCATAACAACCTGCCACAATTATATTTTCGAAATACTTCACCGGTGTTTGTTTCTTTATGATCTTAGAAGCTTAGTACACATAGCTATTGAAAATTAAATTTGTAACTTGTGTTTTAAAATGTAAAACATTACATTTAAATGGTATCTTATAACTTCAAATAATGCACAACCTATGATGATTTTTCATACTCCAGATGTGAAAATGTTCCAGCTCAAACACACCATTATCTCTCAATTTCTTTGATCTCTTTACAAGAATATCATGTATATCAGTCCATAAGCAATATTCTCAATAATGGACTTTGACGAAAGAGCACCAAACACACAGTAATCCACAATATGCTTACTATTAAACCAGAAACTTTCAACATAAACTTTTTGTGAATTGTTCCTGATGGCCATTTTCACGGCAAGAAACTTTTGCAAATAGCAAAATTAGTGTGTTGATTCCCATATTTGGAAGCATACTTCACAAATCTGGACTCTTCTTGAAATTTGGTGTTCTGGTGTTACAGTATATCTTAAAGCCTTGAATCAGCCGTCTTCCTTCATACAAATGCTAGGTTTCTTATAGTGTGCATAAAAACATTCATGCATATGAAACATCGTATTTGGTTCCTTACAGAAAGCATGATCAAAGGACAGCGACACGTGATATGGGGGAAATATCATTATTGACGAAAAAGAAATAAATTGCATAGGTACAAAGAAAAGCAACATGACAATGACAAAAACAACAAACATCCAATGGATAACATGTACACTGTATAAGTGTAAAAACCGTCATAAAAAAAGCATATATCACATTCCAAAATCTGAATTAATTTTTCTCTCATTTATACTCTCTCAAGAGCACCAATCAATTATCACTTCAACTGTATATCGGTATATTATCATGGAATAGTCATGTTATCATTTATTCTATTTATGTAGCCTACCGTATGTCTTACATGCAAGCTGGACATTTTTAAAGTTTAAATCTAAATCATTAGTATGCATTAATTTCCAAAGATGCTTTAATATGGAAGGTGCTTAAAGGTGTTAGGAAAAGTGCCAATTGGAAGATGCAGACATGCAGTTAGGAAGTTTTAGGACACATGCAGGGCTATATGCACAGCCAGAAATTTGCATATTGGGGTCAGAAACCTGCTAAAAAGGGAGTAAAGGGAGAGAAAATACATGTAATATAAACATTCTGCAAATATATTCATGTCTAGAAACATTTGTTTATAGATATCATGACAAGGCTGATAGGTAGTGACCAAGAACATGCACTCTGCAGATAAACATGAAAATAAGAGCCAAAGAAGCAAAGTGAAACAAAATTAATACATTGATCAAACATGGATAAGAATCATTTAAAATATATATATATGGTATATATAAAGAGATTCATATTTATCTGACACAGCTCAATTGTGTCTCATTATGAATCAATATATTATAGAGGAAAGCAGCACAAAGGATTTGAAATCATATACAGTGCTAAATAAATCATTAATTGGATAGCGTCATGCAAATCAAACTCATATCTTCACAGTCCTGCAAGCTTTTGATTCAAAACTTTTCTATAAAATTATCTCCATCAAATAATTATTTCATCAAATGTATGAATTTTTGTCAAAGTTTGACTTTCATGAAAATTATCATATATATTAAAGTTTTAATGAAATATACACCACAACAAATTGTAATTCCTGGAGATTTTTAAAATCAAATACACATTCTTTTTCTTTTCATTTCCTTTTCCCCCACTTACCCAAAAGTGACAGCAGCACAGTAATAAGCAATGACCACACTGAAAACCACTTCATTCTCAAAAGTGAGTTTTTTAAATGACATCCAAAAGCTTGCAGTTTGTGTAGAAAACCGCACTTGAGAAAAGAGTGCTTCTACTAGGATCACATAAAATACATAAATAATGAGAGAAAAAATGTTAAGATCTTTCTCCATACCCCATAGACAGAAACAAAGACAGTGAATATAGCAAATAAATAACAGTGTTTGACCCAGTGATGAAAAGTGAAGTGTATATGATCCTGTTTCAAAGTTACTTCAAACATAAACATGTTTGTCAAGGATCTTGACAGACAAATAAGAGTATAGAGGGGGAGGGAAGGAATATAAGGTACAAGGAATACACAAACATTCTTTGAAGGTATCAAGCCTCACAAGCATAGAGGGATTTCATTTGGATCAGAATCGTCCAAATCGTTCAACAAAAATTCACTGACATGAACTGCTAGTCATATAGTCTACAGCCAAGCAAAGCCAAATGTCATAGGCTCTACAACATTATCCAGAAGGAACTAACAACCCGCTGCAATTGAATCCTTCTGCTGCCAAGATTATACACCCGATCCAATACCTATATATATCCTCATGCACCGCTACCAAAGCAAGCAAATATGGGATGTGATAATAGCTAATCATTGTGTTCTATACCATTACTATAATTCTAAGTAAGCTTCAATTGCAAGCAGTCATTGCCTTCATCTCCCATTAAAACCATAACTTAAAAATGCTTGTGAAACATGATACAACATCTGTTGTTAAGAGCACACATATCAAATGATGACCAACTTGTTAGGACGTACATTCAATGATAGTCTGAATACAGAATATATTAAATAACTTCTTCATCTATTCATAAATCATTCAATATTTTCCCTGGAGGCAAACAGTGTAGATGAGTGACCTTCTTATTTATTTTAGGTCAAATATCTTAAAAGGGCCCCTTTTTTGTGTGTCATAGACTAAAAACTTATCAATAAATCATAAAGTCAAACAAAGATCAAGAAATTAAAAAGAACTGACTTATGTTTGTCTCTTACACGCTTTACTAAACAAGTGAATTATATAATATCGTAGTGCATTAACAAAAATGGTACTTTTCATTCTCAAATCTTGTACAGTGCATTTAAAGCTTACCGGTACTTTGAAATTAACAAAATGAAAATACAGGTGATAAGGCATGAAAATAAAAAATCATTTTAATTTTACAGTTCAAGTTCAAGTTGAATGCACTTGAGTATTCCTATGAAGTCTTGTAGATAAGCAGTTCAGGTTTTCTGGCATAATTTACTAACTACATTTATTTCATTTCAATTTAAATGAAAATAATGGAAATGACTATTGAAATTAAGTCTTTGTATTTCAAAGGCTGAAACAAACTTTATTAAATCATAAATGTTGTTTTCATGCAAATCAATCACTCTATATAATTCTTCGTTCTTAGGCATTTATTCTTATTGCGTCATCTTGTTTTGTTTTTTAAAGACTTCATTAGATGGTGAAGCTTGCTACTTTTGTTTTTATTTGCAATAACCTAAAGTAGCACGAAATCTGACACTCGTTTTTAAATCGCTCTTCGATTAAATCTTCAGAATCACAACCACAAATTGGCGTAATGGAAGTACATATATATTCAACAGGAATTTTATGAAGGGGATGTAACAATAAAGGGGGTGTCGCAATGCAATTTGATCGACTAAGGAACATGTAGAAGAAATGGGAAAGTATAATGAAGATGGCTGAATTTGATTAATCTTTTCACATAAATGAATCTACGAGAATGTTATATCACACTGTGATGACATTATAAGGTGATAATAAGTCAAGTTGATAGTGATGGGACAAACATGCTTTAATTTCAAATGTTAATAAACCATACTATATCACTATTGTAAGGGAAATAGTTATTAATATATGCACTACTTTACTAGGGTCTATTTCTGTTCTTGTGAGATGGGGGATATTGAAAAAAACGTATATATATAATGAAAAGATAACTTTAATGTTATGTTGCCTGCATACCATTTGATATGTTGTGAGAATATGTAATTTGGCATTCAAAATTGAATCACTAGCATGAAAACCCTTCACGATTCTTTTCTTGTACTATATCCATGAAACTGTACATTTGAAGAAATCCCAAAATCAATTACCCAATTTCTCGAGCATTTTAATCAATCTATCTTAGATTTTGTTTTCTTCTTTACGTCTATCTTCATAGAATTTTCGCTTGTAAAACTAAGTAATTACTAACATAGCTATGTGTCCTGATCAATCATATTATATTAATTCTATCATTAGTAGCCCTAACCATACACTACAGGTATGTCTAGCACAAAACACAGTTGCATGCTATCTTATCATTGCTGCCATTTACTCAAATAGATGAAGCAATGTTAATGTCACAGCACCCATATATCAATGCCTAGTCAATTTCTAATCACAATAAAGATGATTTTTAAACAGGAATCATACTTTTTCAATGAAAAACAGCGTTCTGATCTAATGAATGCTATTTGGGTGATGCGTCAATGGCTAGCATAAGAATAATAAACTTTTACCTTTCCAAGTTGTGCATTTTCGAACCCTTTCTGCAAAATATAATGTACCAGTACATCATTTTTGCGTTTTGATTGCAAACACACATGCATATTGCATCTACTTGGATTGTGACAACCAATCAATTATCATTACTGGCTGCCCAATAATCACAAATACTATCATGACTGAAAACTGTCTATCAGTAACTAGAAGGGAATTATTAAAATTACTTATGCTTTGACCTATTGATATAATAGCGACTGTCATATTTATTTATTAGCAGCTAATCTCCAATAAACTTTAATATTCATTTTTAAAATGTAAATACCGGATATATATCACTTTATCTGCACTTAAAAAATGATAGAGCAGCTTCTTTTTAAAGTTAACAATGTGCTTGTCAAATTACAAACTAAATCAATAAATTTTGTGTTGCATAAATTACCTCACCAATGCGGTGACATTCCTGGAATATAATAACGTATTTGGTTTCAAGAAATTATTGATGTGAAATTATTGTATCTGGAAAAAATGGCATAAATAAAGTGCATGATGAAATGACTGTTAAAATGAGATAACTCATAGCATGTTGTTGATTTTAAATAAAATAAATACGAGTGATAAGCACCTTCGATTGTTAGTGATCTTAACAAATCATATATTTGAATCCAATGGCGAGAAGCTTATATGATATGGTTAGTGTATGTATGGTGTAAAGGACTGGACTTCACTGGCTTGGTTGGCCAGGGAGTAAATAATGTCTAACCTCGACTAGGACATGAGGTGGACTTCGTGGTATCTCTACATAGCCTGCAGGGATCGATCGGGAGCGATCCTTCGCTTTCCGCTTCTAAGGGAGTTTGGGGGATGCAAGTAGAAAGTGGTAAAACACTGCAAAATCTCATGTTTTTATGTTGAAAAAGAAACATGAATTACTCTCAAGCATCAATATGAGCACTTTTCAAATTGACAGAAGTGTTAAGTAATGAGCCTTACTTGAATCAAATACATTACGCCCTACAAAGAATGCATGACAATTCAATTTAATTTGTTTTTGTGTTATTTTTTAACAAAGACTTGATTACGGATAATCAAACTGGTGACTCATGTTAAATGGACATATATCAAATCTTGCTGTTGGTAAATGAATGAATGATTCAATTGAATCTATTGCTTATAAAAATGAGCAGTTGAGCATGGTACCAAGTATGCAGTGCTACACAAAACCAAAGCAGCATACCCACATGTTGAGCTCTCCCTAAATGCTTCTAACTTTAATAATCAACAATGGAACCAATTGAAAAAAATATGCCTCAAATAAAAATATATATAAGTAGCCAACTGTAATACCTAACATATATATAATTTAAAGGTTATTTTCCCCTGGTCAGAGATAATTACAACAAAGTCATTAACACTAAGATATCAAGCTAAGTAGCTAACTATTTCTTTGTGAGCTTCTGTGTTGACTTGGCTTTCAAATGTCTATTTTTTTCAAAGGAATGTAACTTTTGTTTTTATTAAATTTGCTTTATAAATTGATTTTCAATTGTAAGTACAGACACTGCTCTTCGTGACTGATTGGAAATACACCATGTCTGTACCAATGTGCAAAGTGTTTTACAGGTAGTTGCTATGAAACATTCAACACACATTTTGCTAGAGTTCTGTTACGAAGAAACAGATGAAAAAGATCATGCGAGAAAACAGGTTTATTGGAAATTATGAATCAACTTTGACCTATCTACTTCTTTTGAATTTTTCATTTCAACGCACAAAGGTAAATTAAAACAGAACATAGATAGACATTGTCCAAAACAGCAAATCAAATTTGGATGGTGGAGACAAAAAATATTACAGCAAAAACATCAAACTAAGAAAGGAAAAGAAATCCAATCATTTGAAAGTGGGATAAAAACTTGATATGGTTTATTGGGTAAACATCACATCAAACTCTGGGAAAGAAATAAACAGAAAGGGGGAAAAAAGCATAAAATGATAGTAGAATGTAATACCTTTCTTGCCTACCCTCCTTTGTAATTGCTTGCTAGATCTTTTTATGAAAACAATTTGGTCAAACACTGTGGCTATTTATTTGCTATACTCACCGCTTTCCAAGCTACGCCTATACTCACTTCCTCACTACCGTCTGTCTTCTCATAGGACACGCTCTCTGTGCTGCCATGCCTGGGTGTACCACTGCTACGTCTGTGATGTCTCTCCTTAGCCATGGCCTCGGACCGTGGTACATCGGTCGACAGGTCCTGGCCTAGAAGCTCACGGACTTTGGTCTCACGCACCATGTCCAAGGCCTGAAGAGGAAGGAGGGGTAGAGGGGTAGAGTGGTAGACGGGGGAGAGGGTGGAATGGGGAGGGGGAAGGGCCAGAACACATACAGCAATGAGATGGAAGAATGCACTTGCAAGAAGTATAAGGTAGAAGAAAAGCTTGTATATATCTACATGGTAAAGTCTGTGCCAGAAATGACGAGAAAGATCAGCAGAAAATGAGTGAAAGTGCTGCCTAACATCCTGATTTCTCTAAACCACCTATTTGTAACCCTTCACCTAATTACTAAGATAAAACTTCAACTCCTTTAAACTATCTATAATTTGAAAAAATTAATCATTACTGTTGAGTATATCTTACTTGAGGCAGTTCAATTTACCTGAACTATTTACAAACCAAACTCAAAACATCACAACACACTACAAAAGACACTGCGCAACATGGATTAGCTTCATGCAAAATTCACCATAGCCAACTTTCCTTGGTATTTTGTTTTAAATAAAGCCATGAGTAATTGATGGAGTAAGAATGGATTTGCACAAGAACCAAATGTTAGCAAATGATATTGGTCAAATTATTCCAAATTAGAAAGTATCCATCACCAAAAATTTACAGAATCACAATTTAAAGCATTCATGGTTTTCAAATTGTGTGAATTTCTATGATGTCTAATGACACAATGGCAAACGCAACTTACCTTTGCCTGTCAATGGAAAAGAAATGATATTTAATTTCCATCCTAATAATTTTGTTATAACAGAAGTAAGCATGTGTGACTGGATGAGGAATTGCTTTTGACTTGAATGTCTGTCATCATTCACTAATCAGTGAATTCTGCATACTAATCATGCCTGTAATAACTTGATTTAACTCATTGGTGTGTTCTTTTAGCTGCAATGAAAATATAACTACCCATGCTACTAAAGAAGAGAATCATCACATTACTAAACTGAGGTGCTGACACAGCACAAATAATGAGCACTCGGTACCAAACTGAATAAGCTTGTAGTCGAAGAGTGAATATATGGATGCAGAGTCTTGTACAGCCCAAGAAATACTACACTGATCTTCTACACGTAGCATATATTACTACATAACATATGCTTTTGATCCACTCCAAGCTTTACAGATAAAGGGATGGATATGAATTTCTAGCACTCAGAATTGAAATGATACCAACAGTTCATGATAAGAATGTAATTCATGGCACAACAGATTTCAGAAATCACATTTATATCTGAAATATACAAGGTCAAATACATGATTTTGCAAAATGAAGCATGAATATTAAAACAACCTTCACAAATGAGTACATTTCAATTCTTCTTAAGCACAACACCAATCAGTGATCAGAAAACCATATACCATGTTCTCATTTTCAGTTTACTGCATTCATTTTGGAATGACTATAATTCAAGCTCTAACAATGAGATTAAACGTTCCTAACTAAAGCAATCTGCTTGTATACATCATCCTAATCACAATGCACGTACAACTAAGGCCTATAATGTTCTACTAAATGCCAGACTGAAGTACTGCTTTCATGAGGTAAATAAAAATAAAAATGATATTGCAAATTAATAAACCTTGCTCATCTATACCTTCTAACATCAATTTGCTTTCTAATAAATATACGTAGGAAAAAAAATAACTACATGCTCCCTAACTATCAAACATGTCTTTCATTTCCAATAAGTGTCCAGACTCCAAGCTGCCCGACTCTAAATACTTACATTTCTGCGTGACTTCATGGCACACTCCTCCAGTATCTCTGCAGCATCATACTTTCCTTGTCTCCTGTAGAGCGCCCCAAGGTTCTTAAGGGTAGTTGTTACCGTAGGACTACTGCGAGACCGACTATAAGAAGCACACCAAACAAAATACTGTCAGTATCCAGGAATACCCTTACACTCAATGCAAGTTTCTATGTCACATATTATATGAATACTACTTAGTATGGCCAGGGAATTGATTTGAAGACAAGTATTCACACACTAGTTAATATTCTACATCAAAAATACAGTTTAAAACAAAATAGAATGAAAATAAAAAAACTACTTCTCTAATAAGTGTACAATAATCATTGGTAAAGATTCATTTAATCCTCAATTATTACATGAAATTTGTTGATGTTGTAGAAATGTCTTATAGCCCCCTTTCCCTTTACTTCAGAATATACCTATATCATATCTTCACGTGACCAGAAATGTTTCAACCATTTTAAGGTTGCTCTGAAAAAGTACTATTTGGGAGTACCATTTGGGATTTCAAATGCCTCCAGCGGACAATCCAGGCCGAGTAGAAAATTCAGCGAGCCCACAGGAATTCAAATCAATTTTTGATGTAGGATATAAAACAAGTATGCCCTGCCTTCTTTTTGAGGTACTAGTTAAAAACTCCAATAGTACTTTTGGAGTCACCTCTTGCCCATAATTTAATCAGAACCCCTTAAGACAGTGTATATTTGTATACCTCACTTTGCTATCACTATTCATCATGAGTTAAGGCAGGAAAAATAAATTCTAAGATTAAATCCTAAATTGACCTATAATTGCCCATACACACATTCATGTTTACCAGTAGGAACAACCCTTACCTATCCACTTTAGCTGCTTTGTGCCATCCACCATAATCACCATACGGTGCGTTATCCTTGAATTTACCCTAAAGACATGAAAAGAAAGAAAATAAATGAAAAGATACAGTATTATAAAGGTACACTGGAAGATGGAATGGTGAGAAACAAAGAGAAGCTAGGAGTCTCAGGAATGAATGAGGAAATGGATGAGAAGAAGAGAAAGTAAAGTACATGTAAACAACAAACCCTAGACGAAGATGAAACACAGGATAAACCAAGATTAAACATGAACAAGAGATAGGAATAGCTTTGTATAATTATGAAAGAGTTTCACAGATTTAATGAATTCTGTATTTTCAGATTTTGAATATTTGAAATCATTTGCTTATCTTGAAATTACTAATTTTACAAATAAGAATCAATCTGTAGTTGCAGGGAAATCACTTTAAAGGCATTATAAACATTTGATATCATGGAGAACATTACAGAACTTCGAGTGTGTAAATTCCCAGCACTTCTACTAGCCCAAACAATGTTGATGTTGGTGATTATAAGTGCACATGTAGCAGTGCTGATACAATATTTGTTGTGATGTAACTAGATAATATTTGATATGTGGTACTTCAAAAACTTATCAATGAGTTAAAGCACATGGATGAAGATACAATAAGATTCTAATACATGAAAGTAAATGCAATCATCATGGCTTGAACTTTGATCTAAAATTTGCCACAAACTTTGATTCTACATATCAAATGTCCTTTATCATAACATGTGTTTTAATGATTGTGCAATCAACTCTCTTTCAATCAATGCTGGCTTGTGCAAGACACGTTGGAAAAAAATACAATTAGTACTACAACTTGATCATTCTTTTTGGCTAATTTCTGAAATGCAACAGGAAGTTTGTTCATCAATAACAAAGGCAAAGAATTACAATAGTAAGCTATAATCATTCAATCTTTCATAACAAAAGCCAATCAGTGACTACCATCCAACAACACAAAGCACTGATTGGCCAATGATACCAAAGCTGAAATTGGTTCTTAATGTGCTATTGTTTATAAGCTAGTAATGTGTGGTGCTCTGGAGAGGGGAGTATGATTCCTTGTCATTAATAATTCATCTCCCAAATTAATGACCTTTTCATAAAATAAAACTAAGTGATTTCATATGCTCATAAGCTGAACAAAACACAAATGTCTAGTATTTCCATATATCACTCAATACCATTAAGTTCCACACTCTCTATTATTCAAAATACTGGTATTTCTTTGGCCTATATTCTCAATATTGGACCACAAAGGGAGCTAGCCATTCCAAATCATGAAATGCATTTCGCAGTGTACACTATATCATTATTTTATCTCTGGCACATTTAGAGTATAGCTCCCTCTGTTGGCAATTATGTATCAGTAATACAGTACTTGCAAAACAGTGGCCAAGCCTACTACTTTATGCAAATATATTTTGTCCTCACATCCATTAGCAGGCTGGATCTATTTCTTTCCAATTGTTTGCATATAAACTGAAAAACAAATATATACAAATGGCATTTGTGTCAACAATCTATTCCCAGACACAGCTTTATATACTGGGAGAGCCTATCCAAATGTGCAATTTTTCCAAAAATGTTATGAATTTGAAATGTGAAATGGCTATTTGCAAAAGTTCATGAATGATACTGTTAATATGTGCACAAAGCATGGAAAGGATTCAAATAAGTTAGGCATCATTATTTACACAAATACCACAGTATAATATTTATATCGCACATATCATATTAAGTGTCTAAAATGACATTTGTATTTTGTTCAACCTTATTTCCACACAGATTAACTACATGCACATGCAACAAATTCCACAGAGAACTACAAGAAAATTGGTTTGCAATTGGTCTGTTGAATTTATTGCACATGCACAAGACTAACATGCAAACTTGCATGCTACAAAATAATAATTACAAAAAAAGAACATAGCTTCACATACGTGAACATGAAAAGGTATTCTAACATGCATTACTAAGGTTAATGTGAGTTAAATGTACATTCTTTACTTTAAAAATTATAATAATAAATTCTCTTGAAACTAATGATTTCAAATTTCTGTAAATGCTAAATAAAAACATGACATGTCTTTGAAAACTGTCAATTGTTGATATCAGCAAAATTTTCAGAACATTTTTGTTTATTTATTTTATTATTATTATTATCCTTATTATTATTTTATATATTATTACTCCCTTTTCCCTTTTTTTTCTTTTTTTTGGGGGGCATTTACAATTGTTTTTAGGTACAAGTCAAAACACTAAGTCAAACAAAATCACATGCTATGCCATGGAAGAACAGATATTAATAAACATTAAAACATATGCACCATCAGATATATTTAAGAATTTTAACACTTGTGACCTTTCTGCAAGTTATCAATGACATTACTTTTAAAGTTTATTCGATAAGTTTTAATAAAATTTGAAAGTTTTTTAGATAAAATGTGACTTTAACAATAACTACTGAAGAATGCATCTATAAAGAAGCAGGTGACTTCAAAACCATTTGATTGCCTTCATTTTAAAGAAAATTCATAATTTATCTAACTTCCATTTACGGTAATTCAGAAGAACTTTTTAGCTCCATTTTCTAGTTTTAAAGTTTACTCGAATTCATTTTTTGACTTGATCATGAGTTAATGACATGATCAAGATATAATAAGACTATTTGACGAAGTATGGAATTACGTTTTCTCTCTTTGGTGATATTGGGCAAATTCAAAAATAAAAAAATCATTATCATCAAAAGTAACTGTTTGTTAGTAGTTATTTTCATGCATGTTAATTAGCACAGGCATTCAACAGACCAACTATATGTACAACTTAAAAAATGAAAAGAAATAAAATCATGCACATAATCAACAGAAATAAAAACTGAACTGGCACTTTGTAATCATGTAGTACTCTTTGAATTAAAAATAAATATCATTGCTTATTACATTGATAATAATAAAATCAGGTTATTACACAACCTCTATACCCTTACAATAAATCAAATTGCATCACAATGGCCGTCTTTTTCTAGCACACACCATATCAACATGATCTATAAACATCATAATCCACTTTGTGGGTAAGAAAATATTTAAATTAATTAATCAAATTTTCATTACAATAAATCTACAAAATATATACCTTGTAACTGGCACAAAAGTCTATTTCATAGACCTTTAAATGTGACACACTAGAGAACTTTGTATAATTTTAAGGCAGTTTTAAGGCAAAAATATAATAACAAGTATCTTCATAATTTTATTGACCATTGACTGCACAAACAAGTCAATAGTTTGACCTTTAACCCCACAATATCTTGTGGGGATTTGTCTAAGGTGCTTCATCCAAGTACTATACTATCCTATTTTTCTGTTATTTAAAAAACAAACTCAATTCTCATACTGTTACTTTTGCATGTAAGATAAAAGAAGTTTGATCAAGTAGTATCTTGATAGTTTTAAGCAACAACTATACTTTACAAACACATATTTACATGTACATATGACTTGAGAGTGAATTACTTCTCTGACATGACATGCCAAAGTTTCAATCTCTTCAATTTGTATTGCTTTCAATTGTAACATTACTAGCACAATCTCCATGATCAAAATTACAAATATTCCTTCCCACATGATATACTGATCCATGAATACTAATTGCTACATGAAAGACATAAGACGTAATAAATTAAGCTCTTCCGAATCACACACTAATCTGCTAGACATGGGATTGTTTGGACTCTAATGTGGTGATGATTCTATCCTTTTAATTCACATCAACAAGTATTCCACAAGGTCTGACTGATAATAATTCAATCTCATGATTAGAAATACCACTTGGCTTAAATAGTGATGCACTTTTTATTGCAAATCTCCTTCCATAAATGATGACACCAAGTTCTGGTCATATCTTCAAATGTTTCACCCCATAAACGGAATTCATTGAGCAAACTATAACTACATCATAAGAAAAGGGTCCGCGGAATCAAAATTTTATTTCTTTCTATTGGGTCCATGCCTTAGTGAGTTTTACATCATCTAATCTTTCTTCTTAATCCACTACATCCTGTTGTTAAAACAAGGCATGTGGCCCGACAGATGATGAAAGGAATATTTTGTTATACCTGCTACGTACTTGTTTGTTGGATTTTGCTGATAAATTACATATTTTCTAAGTATAACCTACGATAGTATTTGGTATAATGCAAGTTGTTATATGTATATGGACTTACAAGGAGCTTTTAAATCCATTATACTCTCATCTTTAATCATCCTGCGGACAGAATTTATTAGTGTAACTGAAATGTTTTTTCTTGAAGCATATGGAAATTTCCAAATGTTGTTTGGAAGAAATAAACTTGATACAGTATTTACAAGTATGTCTAGGAGGAGGGACACTTGGTTTGACTAGTCTTCTAGAATGTTCAGTTTTCTTCAACAGTTTTTCTTTCTACATATTCAACAAGACATACCACTTTGTTTTTTATCCCAATGCAGGGTAGGCATGCATAAAGGAGTTGGCACAAATAACCACATGTTAACTTTATGCTTCCCCCCCCCCTGATTTGCGCACAACCATTCCCTGACATTTTGAAACGTGAATGTGGACTGGTTTTAAATTATAGACAGAAAATAAACCACTGGAGTAATCCCAGGGTTAAAAGCCTATTTTGTCAAAGAATGATTCTATAGTTTGATGCTAGAGAATGATGTTCCGTTGATCACACCAACGTTTGTTCAGTTGAGGGCCTTAGTATCTTGGAGAATTGAATCCATGCTTCGTCTATGTAATACTTAACTTGGGCTGGCAACAATGAGGACTAGTTGATAGAGTCATAAAAAAAGAGAAGAGTTACTATACAATGGAAAGCAGGTTTGTGAAAGATATAGTTGGAGTAGATATACTTAAGGCCATTTCAGGAAAAATATTATTTCATTGTCTGTGTATGCATCTTTGTTTTCCCTCTTCATTTACCTCCCCCCCCCCCCCCCCTATCGTTTTTAAAAACATAAGGAAGTATTATATCAATATATTCATATCATTTTATCATCGCTGAAGAGTTGGTTGAAAATGACGACTTTTGTTTGTTGACCCTTATCTTGCACCCATTTTCCCAAAAGTTATTCAAATAAGATTATATAAAACCAAATGTTCAGAATATGTTTCCTACCTCACTTCAATACTTTATTCATTTATATAGAAGAGTTCCATAGGATGTGCATAATATGGTTTTGATTATGATGCATAATCCTTACGTTTGCTCAGTTTAAAAATGTGTAATGTTAAGAAGCAAAGTAATATGTTCAATATTAATCACTTGTTATTTTTATGAAATAATAAATTGAAATTGAATTGAAATTGTTGAAGATATAGGATGTAAATGGATAATTTATATTGTGTGAAGACGTGTAAAGATTATGTGGTAAGATCAATTACAGATATATAGAATAAAATGGATTGCACATGAAGAAAGATCGCTCCATGATATACCATAATGCCATGACAGCAAGAAAAGAGAGGGAGCAAAATTACCCCATCTTCTTTAAACCACTTATATTCTGTATGTTTTCATTAAGTAATGTATAACTTCACTTTATTATTCAAATTTGAATGAATATTTCTTTCATAATGAAATGAAGGATATATACAATCATCAAGGTTTATTCATGCAGTTAGTATATTTGTGAATACAGATAGGTATACAACGTTCATGCTTATAGTATGGGATGGCAGAAAAAGGGGAGGGGAGAATAGTTCAGTCTTTGATTGAATATGAACATGTATATTTCAGATGTCAATAGTACAACATTGTATTTCTTTTATGAATACAACTCATCATTGTATTACAGTTCACAATAAATATGCTTCTAGGATTATCTAGTCAGAAATTAATTTGACATTTGCCTTCCCGAAGCATACACATTTTGAAGTACTTTGGCTGACAGAAAAATGTGTTGATTTGATTAAATTCTGATTTCAAATCAGTGCAGTGCACTTTTTTAACTTGATCTTTAAAATATTTGTCACATCCTGTGTTTTCTCACCAATAGGTCTTCCCTAGTATTACAATCTTTATTAAACTCTTTTGTTTTAGTTATGTTATATTTTTGTAAGATAGATAGATAAATAATTTTATGAAAGATCGACTATAAATGATCCCTTTTTACTCACAACTTTATGATCATATACAAACAGTTAGTAAGACGGGGTATGTTGTCCAATCACCATTGTACACTACATGCTTGTAAATAGTTCATGCTAACAAACAACAACAACACATGATAACACAACTATATAGAGCTATACATAGTAAGTGAATACATAGCAAGCGTAGGGGAGGAGGTGAAGAATCAAATATGCATGATAATTTGGCTAGCTTGTTAAGGTATGCATACAGGGGAAGGAGGATAGGATTAAGATATATTTCATGATTTGGCTGGCTTGGGTTTTCGTTTCTTCACCTTTTCTTCCCTCTCCTCAGCCTGCATCCAGATAGGTTTGTTGTCCTTGTCATCAGCGCTCAGACCAAACTCCCTCTCATGGGCCCTGGTTAGGACCTGCTTGTAGAGGGTCTCTGCAGCCTTGTACTTGCCCTGCTTGAGGTAAGCTGCAGCAAGGTTGTTCTTTGTCTTAGCTACGTTAGGATCATCAGGACCAAGCTTCTTCTCATAGATTTCTAGCGCTCGCTGGTAGTACCACTCAACCTGATGTATGGGAAAAGGGAGGAACGGTACAAAGAAAGCAAAATGGAGAGAAGAAAACGTTGAATTAGAAAGTGATGGTTACATTGTATAATGTCATTTTTTTATGTTTTTTTCTTTTTAATATGGACTTAACTTGTAAAAGACTTGCTTCAAATATAGCAACTGGTATTGTATGATGGCATGATCGTGTATTCTGTAATATATTGTGATAAAATTAATGAGGCATATAAATATTTTATTGAGTGACGCTGAGAAGAGATGCTCAACTCTATTTTCATGCACACAATCCTGTCAACAAATTCCTTTCCCTTATCTATATTGGAAGGATTTTTGTCTTTAAATTCAGCAAAGTTACAAAACAAGACCTTCTTTAGAATTTCAATGTTGAATCATCATAATGGTTGTACATAGCATCTTGGGACATAGAGAGTGCAAATACTATTTCTAATCTGTTCCAAGAAAAGAAGCTCAAAAGTATTTATCATACCTCTTCATATTTTCCTTGATTTTGGCAGAGTAGAGCCAGATTATTTAGTTGCTTAGCTACATCAGGATGATCTTTCCCAAGAACCTGTATGGCAAATGAAAACAAGGTTAAAAAAAAATAGTGTTAACTTCATATTGATTGAAAAGATAAGTACCTGCATGCACCTAGCAGCTAGGCCCTTGTTTCCATAATTAGTTTATGATCTTATCAAGTCATCTCCAGACAATTTAATTAATTCAAAAAATGATGAGAGGATGCAATGTTAAAACCCAACAGGTGAATTCTGAAAAAAAACCTATTAATTTTAGAAAGTGTGACATCATGTTGTTATGTTGTCATCGTTACTGGGTGTAATTAAATTAGCACCGACTGAGTCATCGTAATCAAAATGGCAGCTATGTGTGAAAGTGTCTGACTCCATGTGAACAGTGTGAATTGTCTGAACCAGTGACCTTGACGATGTGTGAATGTGACGTCAACACTACTCATGTTTGCTCCTACTCACATGGCACATACACTAATGGAAATGCACAATGCATCAGTCAATTACTTTCTTCTTGCAGGTAGCCCTAATGACAGCTCCAAATATGCATACCAGAAATAGAATGGTACACTGCAACTCAAGTTCATTGTTTGTATATGAAGACTCTCCTAGAGCCCAGCTATCATTCCATCCTTCATCATTGTCTTGTACAGATTAAAATCAAAATCTACTAATCTTAATACAGGGATGCCCAAAAATATCTCAAATACTGTATTTAGTGTCGAACAAAGTTCAAAAGCAGAATATAATTTACAGAGTTGGTATTGATCTCATCAAGATTAAAATACTATAAGGAGCAATGAAAATGGCATAAAATGTCACATAAACAATTAATTTACTTTAAAAGAGTAGCAATTTCAATGTTGTATTAGACAAAATGAGATTATACAGAACAAAAAAATACATTCTTAACTTTCCCTCAAGCAATTTGCCTTTAATAATCCCTACATCCTACTATCTTATTTTTCTGAGAATTCATTATCAGAATTACACAGATATGACAGACTGGCAATTGTACTGTAATGGCCATGAAATTCTAAATGGCAAAAAAAAAATATACATATATATACGATTATTGCATTTAGGCCAACATATATAATTTTGTTATCATATTTTCTCTTATTCTATTATGGTAAAATATCTTAGGTTTGAGTTTTTATTTATCTATTCACAGTTAAAAAGCCTGCCATCAGCTATAAGCTGCTCTTCAACGAGGACATGATAGGTGGTCTACATTGCAAAATTGGAGCACAGTACTGTTAAACTCAGTAGCTATGCAGACTGCACTGTCCATTATCATTAATATGATTTATTATCAACTATAGGAAATTAGTACATTCACTAGCTCTCTCTCTCTCCCTCTCTTTCACTCATTACATTGCTCTCTCTCTCTCTCTCTCTCTCTCTACCTCACTGTCTCTATTGCCCTACCTCGCTCTCTCTCTCTCTCTCCCTCTCTCTCTCTTATGTCTCTCTACCTCAACAGTTATCCCTGCGTAATACCACTTAGTACTATCAAGGTTACTGTGTAATAAACAATGCATTTCTCTAGCCTCTAAAATTTAATTATATGATAAAAGCCACATAGTGCTGACATTTCTATTGGCAATGACGTAAATAAATATCATCATTCATGGAAGAGAGGGGAGGAGTGATATATGATAGCACAATTAGACAAGGTGATTAGCTGGAAGCTTAGCTGTCAGACTGTATGAGGTATAAGTGGGTATGTTTCAAAATGAATTGCTCATCAATAATTCAGTCTACTGTTGCTAGAACACAAAAATCCAGTGGAAAAGGGCACACTTTAACTAAACAAATTAGTTGGGTTGCCATAGGAAACACAGGAAGCGCTGACCCACTACCCTTTCTATTTCTTAGAATTACTTCAAATACCTTGAAAGATCAAATGTATACATTAGTAATATAATTAGCATATAGAGACTCATATACATGCAATCAATCTGTCTCCTAAAGGTTCAAATAATTATAATTCTCATTGGTTAATATTTTTTGTTTTAATATAATAAAAGAAGAAATAAATAATGTTGAAAAATATATCAAATGAGACTGATTATCCCTTACATGATTGAGATTGAGTTCTTATAAAATTGTTAAAACGTGCTCCAATTAGCATTAGCAGGAAATCTGATTACTTATCTCCAAGTAAATAGAACATGGATGTACTACATGCAGTGCTTTGCAAACATATTAAAGTGGTATTTAAAAATAGACTACAAGTGTTATCTTGTACATAAGTCTTGAACAATACCAAATTGTTAAAACAGGAAACAACATAATGGTGTAAAAGATAAAGTTGAGTTCTGGTCATGTGACTACATTGTAAAAGAAGCAGTCTGGAAGCCATTTGGAAAGGTTCATTATGTAGAATTGGGATATACAGAGAGGTTTTGGAAACATTAAAATGACAAGAACTTCACTCTGTCTTGCTGAAAGATTTTACATGCACTGCACACAGAAATGTATATATGGGTCTACACACATGAGACATGAAAGTTTGGTCCAAACTTTTCAGCTATTTCTTGTCATACTTTGAACATGAGGGCAGTTCAATAGCTCATTTTAGTTCTGTGATAATCTTACAAACTGACATAAACAGAATGAAAAAGGCTAACCATTTTATTTTTTTCACCTTGACCAGGACCCAATCTTCCCTTTAAAGTTGTTAATAGAATATGTTGATGTGATGTAGATAAGAAGAATGATCTCACCTTTTCCCTGATCTCCAGGGCTCTCTTACATAAAGGTTCTGCTTCCTTGTACTTGCCTCTCTTACCATACAACACTGCTAGGTTATTCAATGTGGCTGCAACCTGTGGTACAAGAAAAACAATTGTTATTAATAGTAACATCATGAAACATACTTACATGGAACATCTCAGTAACAAGAAGATATGACCAACATCACTAAAATTGAATCTCTTTCAGATATACATAATTTGGTTATAACCCAATCTCCCTTCTGAAATATTCCCTAATGAATTAAGACACTGTATTATGACATCATGTAGGCACCATTTTACACCTGCCTGTTACTATTTCAAAGAAAGAATAATTTGACATTTCAAAGAATTTCAAATTTCAGAAATTAAAAGTAGATGTAGTCAGCAACCAGCATGCTATATTTCAAATCTTTATGGAGTAAGACATGTATAGGATCTTAAAAACAGTGCTTCTGACAATACACCATTATTCATGATTAAAACAATATTATGTATTTGAACTGATTTTTCAATCTTATACGAGTACATGGTACATGTATGTGATTTAAAGCACTACAGTTACCCCCTTCATGCATCTATAGTGTTTCAATTTTTATAGGAAGTAAATCAGAACTGTAATCACATCAAGACTAACTGCTTTTGAAATGAGCAGCGCTCCTAATAATTACTTCCACACCCGTGTCCACCATCTGTTGGAAGGCGGTGCACATAAAATGTCCAAACAGCTACAAATCTTACATCTTTGTTTACATCTATTCACAAACTAATGTACATAGGCATTGAGTAAATGAAGAAACAAGACTCATAAATTAATGAATTCAAAGTATACCTTAGTGATAACAAACCAGCACTTAGATGTACATTTGCCATCAATCTTATCTACCTCTACATAAACAAGTCCCACATGACAAGTGTGGAAGAAGCTCTCTTCATTATACCAACTGTCAAATTTAGAGAGGGGATATCAATTTTTGTTTAACTTTTCATCTTCATTCTTAATGAATGAAGTTGAAATGTCATATATACTCTGGATGTGTTTTTTTAACTAAAAATGTTATAGAAGAATCTTGGGAAGATATATCCCATGATAAATAAGCTACATGTATATCTAATATGAAGTGTATTATACCAAGTTTTGATCAAACTGTTTTATTAAAGCCTCAGTCACAAATGCCATTACGAACTGCTATGAATGCCGTATGAACGATTTGGAGACCATGAAAATTTGGGAAGACCATGGAAAAACAGGGAGATTCGTACGGACGCATCGTTCGTACGGATCTTTGTGACCGTAGCTTAAGTCAAGCGAATTCAGTGTTTTTGGGGTTATCATGAGTCAGAGTGAAGGTGGATTTCATGAAGTGCTTACTCACAATGTATTAAAGTAGGTGAATAATTTAAATACAAAAATTTAAATTCACTACGATCAAAAGGTAGGTTGCGTTCCTGATTAATCACAAACATATTACAGATAAAGTAGAATAGGTAGAATCAAATCAATACATCATGATCATCCCCAAACATTCACCATCATAAAAATGTAAAAATGTAAAAAAATACATAACAATAAAATAAAATATACCATTTGAGAGTGTGGGAGTACACATCACACTAATGTATGAAATAATCCCTGTCCCTGATTACACTCTAATGGGCCTTCTCACATTCAGATATTAATAATGCAACACAATTCAATAAATCAATTGAACCATGACCAACTGAGGGAAACAAAAAGCAATTTGTGTAGATGGCGATATACAGCCCACGTGCTGTGCATATTGCTACATATGTAGATACTAAAGTTATTGGTACACTGGATATCTTTATGACTTTAACCTTTCAAATACATTGATGGAAAGTGCTTTAAAGCTCTTCTCCCTCTCCCCCACCATGAAATTGCTGCTCATTATCATATTGTAGTTAGGAATCCATATTTGTTATTTCCATTAACTACATCACTGATATTTTGGGATTAACTCACATCTTATCTGACTTTTCTTCCTCACACTAAGAGACTCATGCATCATCACTGACAACAGACAAAAACTACCATCACTGCCATCAGCAGAATATCCAAATAACACTGTCAGCATGAACATCATTATCATCGTCATATCATATATCATGTCACACCACTTAATCTCCATATTCCATACCAGTCGTATATATATGAGATTAGAGAGTGTCTGTGATGTTTACATGATGAAGTGCTACTTACTGCAGGATGATCTGGTCCTAGCGTCTTTTCCCTGATAGCAAGAGCATCATGTAGCAGGTTACCAGCCTCTTTGTATTTGTTTTGATCCCTGAATAATTAAAAAAAGATATAATTTTTGGTTGTTCAGGATCACAAGACCAACAAAAACTCATGCGAATAAGATACACATGTAAGTGGATTCAGAATGTCTTTGGTTATCCAGGCATTTCTCACTTGTAATTTGATTTAGCACGCTTTCATCATACACGTATATATAAAATAACTCACAAAATGAGAGAATTGCCACATCCTACTATAATTGGTCAGGGGCATTACAAATTCTCTTGTTTAATGTGATATATGTAAAGACACCTGGGGGGGGGGGGGGTGTTTCATAAAGCTGTTCGTAGAGTTACGCACGACTTTACGAACAGCTTGTATATGAAGTGCCAGATAGGATGCCCAAAGATTTTTCTGATATTCCAATAACCTCGATTAAATTATGGCAAAAAATATACTTTGCATTAAAAATGTTTGTTATGATAAGAATGTTAATCTACATCTGCACAGTTCAGCTTAATAAATAATAAACAATAATGATTGAGCACCCCATTTGGCTTTTCATATACAAGTCGTTTGTAAAGTCATGCGTAACTTTACGAACAGCTTTATGAAACACCCCCCAGGGCCAATCTTAGGCAAATCCACTCTCCCATACGAAAAACAATATCCATGAAAACAGATTTACATTTTCTCCATCTGTTAACCATATTGATGCTTTACATCATGCTTATGAAAGTTTGAATCTGTATCAAAGAATGATCATCAAGCAAAGAAATATACGATACTGGGAATGACAAATAGCCTGATGTATAAACTGACCTGTATACGAGGGCAAGAATGTTGAGCATTGTTGCTACATCTGGATGATCATGACCTGATGTCTTCTCCAGATCTTCTAAAGCCTGTTTACAGAGTGGTACAGCCACCTCATAGCGACTCTGTGAGGCGTACTGTATAACCAGGTTGTGTAGAGTACGTAGACGGGCAGGGATCTCATAACCTCCTGCTGCTGCTGATACTGAACCACTACCTGTCTGGGGCTGGGGATAGCTCTCTGCAAGCATAGGAGATGAGGCAGATTAATAATCCAGAATTAATACGATGCATTGACACATTCCATATGCCTTCAATGTATCACATAAATCATCTACATGTATACAATACTTTTTGGCTAGTACCATCTAAATTTTAATCAGTTTACCTTTTCATACTTAAACTACTCCATAAAATTTAGTTAGAACTGTCCATTGGTTATAAAAATTACTAAGTTGGCACAGATATTTCGCATTTTAATTCCAATGGTAAGTTTATACTTCTAGATTCCATGTTCAAAAAGACAAGCTTGGTTGAAATCAATTTGCTAATTCAGTCACATCGATAACCATTAAACAGACGGTTTTCAGAGACATATACATCAAAACACACAGGAAAAATGGTTTCAGCATCTGGACCTATTCCTTAGACAAATCTGTTTGTGCCACCTACAGTACATGCATGCACTGTTTTTTTTAGTGAAGTCATTACATCAAGAAATGATTTGTTAATAGACTCTCCCTCAGGCTCATTCAATATTCATGGCTCTCCACGATGACATCCATTTCTCATGTAAGATTACACATACCATGACAAGCAGATTGACGACGTTCCCTTCTCACACACCTGGTCTGCTCACATTACTATCATAATCTGTTCACATTACTAAGATAATTTTGTCGATGTTTCTGTAATCTATACCTGGTGCAGAGCACATGTTCCACAAAGACGTGCATATATTTATTAAACCTAGAACAAGGCTGAAAACATTAATACATAACGCTTGTAGATTTTTTACCAAAGTAGTAATACGTCATTTAGATTGGAACCAGTTGACAGTGGGAAAGTTACTAGAACGATCCAGTATGAAGCTCCTATCATGCGCTAGAATACCTTTAGAGGCACTATCCCTATGGTGATCGTGATGTATGATCTCTTTCTAGGAAACCAAGGTCTGCGCCTCTGAGGATACTATCCATTTTACACGCAGCACACAAACCAATGGCAGCGAGAAGGTTACTGGAGAGAACATTCTAATCATATGCTAGTCTACCTTTTGAGGTACCACCTCTCTGAGGATAGTGACATACGACCATCGCTTTCTAGGAAATCACGGTTTGAGGATACTAGCCCTACTGATATCAATGCACAAACCACTGAGAGTGAAAAGGTGACTCTAGAGACTACAGACAGTGGGGAAGTCAATAGAGAGATGATTGCATGGCATTCTCACCGTCTGCTTGACCACCATCATCATCTTCTGGGAAACCAAGATCTAAGGGATCTGACGATGATGCCTCCTCCTATATATAAGAAAATAAAAAAATCATGACAGAGATATCAATTATAGCTTTGAAATGAAACAAGTTACTGGAAAAATAATGCCATAATCAACTAAATAAGTACAAACAATGTAGTACATGAAAAAGAGATTGTGTATTTCAAATCATATCTATCCTTTTTCAGTGTGGTTGACAAGATATTACATTGATATGACTGACTTTAAACATGACCTGGTGTTACATAAATTATTCATGGGAAATTCCATGTGATGTGTAACCACATGTCCTTTATCTATTTATTTCATTTTCTTTTTAAACTAAAACATTATATGACTATTGAATAATAGTTCTTTCTGGTACCATCACAATTCAATACTCCATGCTATATCAAGAACATTCTTGAAGCACATTGTAGGGAAATATAATCTGTATTTACTAATTATCCTAAATCCATTTTGTTATCAACCTTTTCTTCTTTTTCAAGAACAATATATTTATCTCTGCATGCAAGTAGCCATTAACCATAGATGTCCAGTAGTTCATGAGGTAAGATACCCAGAGGGATTGACAGAGCTGCCAACTAGTACGGATTTTCCGTAATTGGTACGGAAATCAACGGCAATTACGGAAGCACGGAAACCCCTTCAAAAATTACGGATTCCCCGATTTCTGGACATGCCTATGTATTAACACATGCATTATGCATATGCGAGTGTTTTAGCGGTAATGATCGCGATACTTCCCGGGCCTCGGCCCGGTGGTTAACTTTTGAGCGCACGGAAATATCATCCGCGCCTCAGCCACGACCACTGCACACACATGTAGCTACCATCGAAAGATATGCACACCGCCCTGCCTATATGGGCTGCGTGTGCTAGCTTTCAGCATGCAATATATATCGGGGAGACGGCAAACTCGTCCCAAGTCCATTTAGCCACCTTGCAAACCAACCCGTACGGTACCATGTCCATGTGTAGTTTATAGCAGGTCTACAATTTTTTTCCCCTTAGTGATGGGTTCTCATTGTTATGATAATAAAAGTACGACTCGACTAATGATGAAGATGATGATGATGATGATGATGATGATGATGATGATAATTGTCATAAGGAAAATGAATGTACTTCCTTGATTAAACTTGAATTTATATTCAACAATTATTGTCATTGTGTTTTATTTCACATTATTTGTTGGATCATGTTTATTCATTTCATTTTATTCATATACCCCTTTTCATTGTTGATAACAAAATATGATACACGAATAAATTTTGAATGAGCTGACACACAAAGTTTTGACCGATACGAAAGCGCATGCATGGTGGATGTGCTGAAACAAGTGGCACGATATTTATCTGGGCGAAATATGCATTGGCCGAGTGTTACACTACCGCATGTGCAGCAGGTCGGCCGTGGTCGCGTCAAACTTCGAGTAACCGACGGAGAAAAATGACTTCAACTTCATCGAAGAAGCGTTCTAAAAAACTGCAAACCTTCTCAGGTGATTACACCAAGAAATGGTCATGCATTGTTCCGTCGAAAAGGAATACAAACAGTGCCTGTTGTACACATTGCTCATCCGATTTTGGAATTGGTCATGGCGGTTCGAACGATATCCAGGTACATCTGAAGTCGGTGAAGCACCGGACTGCAGCGGCGGAGGCAAGTTCCAATTCCCGCAGTCATGACATCGCCCAGTTTTTCGTCGCAAAGGACAATTCTGTCACGAACGCCGAAGTGAAGTTTACTCAATTTTTGATAGAGCACAACATCGCGTTTTCAGCAGCAGACCACCTTTCACAACTTGTCAAAAATGCCTTCCCTGACAGTAAAATTGCAAGTAAATACGCGTTTTAATTGTAAAAACCTGAAGTGAATATACACACGTAAGTGAAACAGGGTAATGATACATCAATCCTCTAATAACCATTGTTTTTTTTATAGCACTTAAAATGATGTTATAAACAGAATGTTCTTGTTTTTACTTCAAGTCCTGTCATTCAGAGTGATGCTATTACCATGGTACTAGTAGTTTGTGTTGTGGTGTTGTGTGCAGCTCTACAATGTACGTGCAAATGCAGTCTTCTTGATGTTGAAAGCGCCGCGCTTGAAATTACTGATTTCCATCCAAAATTACTGATTTTTAGCTTTCAGTTTACTGATTTTGGTTTCAGAGGTTGGCAGCTCTGGATTGAGGGCAGCATGAGAATTAAGTAAGTGAAAGTGTAAACGTGTGTACACATGTAATGCCAGACCCGTGCAAACATAGATTTCATCAAAACTTGGATGGCAGGATAAATATCTCGCGGAAGATCAATGTTTGTACGTGACCAACCAGAAAATGGAGATATTATCCTCCGTATGTACGGGAGACACAATGGACAGAGAGGGGGTCTTAAGGTTCAGCACTTCCTCCATTTTAAAAACTATTTTATAATGAAAGACCTAAGACTTAATTTGATGGGCTACCTTTAAAGTCTTGCAAATTATACGAGATTTGTATAAATGGAATGATAAAAAGTTATATTTAATATTAATGATTCTATGTCTTTTGTAAATACAAACATTACTTTACTTTTATGATAGCAATCTATGTTTTTTTTTTTTTACTTCAAATAATTATTCAGAGGCTATGCAAAATGTCAAACATGTCAGCATGAATGAGACAGAAAACAGATAATTTGATGGATACATCATCAGTAATGTCTCCATTAAGATTTAATTTAGTCCAAGTCCTTGAATACAATCGGAGTGGTCTCACATAATCTCTTAATGAAATTATCATGCTTGTAAAAAAATCTTGCCCAGATTTAAGAATCTTGTAAATAATGATGGGGGAGCCCTGAACAGAAAATTAAAGTATAATTCTGATTAAAAATATAAGCATTTTGAAAATGAAGTTTGCTTTTATATTCTTACAAGAAAATGGGGGGAAAGGGAGAAAGTATTGGCAATGGTATTTGCTAAGGGAAACATTGCTGTCATATTCACTTCACTTTCCTATCAATGTTGCAACAACAGTCTAAAGGATAAACTTCCTGTAATGTCATTTCGCAATCTTTCATGTCCCGAATGGTATTGGTCCATGACATTTCAACATTGTTCACTTTCAAGCGTCTGCAGGTTGACATTTAGATCCTCTATTCCCTCTCCCTTTGGCCAGGTGATCCTATTCCATACTATGCATTATTCCAATATCTCAAGCAAGGCCATTACTGATGTACACAATAATTACATGAATACTGATAGCTAATTTTTTCATGGAATTTCAATTTCATACCATTTGCATTTGCTTCACCATGAAATGATTGGGATATAAACATGCTCTCCATGAAAAATTGCACACTTTATTTCTCAGTTGAGACGTAAGAGCTTGTTCCGTTACCCAAACCTTGATTTAGAAGTTGTAATGTAATATGCATGTTTATTGTAACTTGACTTGTTGTCTTGCATGAGATTTAGAAGATACATGAAGGAAAATTACATTGCTGTAGACAAAACTATATTGTTTGTATTTCGCCATGCCTTAAAAATATCCTCATCCTACATGTATATGATAGAAGATTCCTGAATTATTCATGATTACACCTGACTTTCTCAAAACCCTGCAAACAAAAATATAAGCACAGGGGTATTTATAGAGAATTCTCTATTTTTACTGAAAGGCTCAGTATCACAGATACATGTAACTGTGAATAGTTTCTCAGTATGGCTTGTTGCATTTCTTTCTTACAATGTTAAGCTTTTGGATAAATAGAGACACCCAAGTCAGCTAGACAGATAAATACAATACTATCACTGAATCAGGCACTAATTGTATTTGCTTAACTTTACAAGCTTGTACATGGACCTAATAAACTCAGTATGGAGCAGCAACCAGGCCGTTCGCAATGTTGTTAAACTTAATGAAGCTTTATTACTTTCAGTCTGATACCCCACTCACACCTGAGACCGACTGCAGACCGACAACAGACCGGACAAATATTTACATTGCCTCCAATGGTCAGGGATCTGTCGGTCGGGAGTAGGTTTGGTGGTGTGACTGAGGTTTCCCCATTCAGTGACGACTGTTATGCAGAAACTCATTTTTACAACCTTATCAAATGCATGAGTTGGATGTTGATTTCAACCAAACATACCCTCATTATGTTCCAATTTCAAAGAATATTTTATGTTTCAATATAATATGTTGTGAAATATGTCTTCCAGGGTTTAATTTGTGAAGTCCTGTTCAATTGTTTTTTAAAACAACTAACCTAGACCTATTTTGTAATTCCCTTTGTTTTCGCACAATAAAGGTGATATCGCAGGTGATAGCATTTTCTAACCCTGTGTTTAGAATGCATATGAAATTATCATCTCAAAGACTTGAAGGTTTATTACCAGCAATCACTTTTTGTTATACTAAAAGATATATATTTTCATCCATCCCTTCCTGAGTTCCATAATGTAACAATAAGGAGACAAAAACTGAACTTACATCTGGTGTGCGATCTTCATCATACTTCTTGATGGAGTTCATATACTCCAGGTGCTTGTATTTGACCTCTAGGTCAGCTAGATTCTGCTCACTCGTCTGTAGCTTCTGTTGGGTGGCAGCCAGCTCATCTCTCAACCAGGTATTCTCCTGGACTAACCTTCGAACCTGAGCTCGTAGCTTCTGTTTCTCGGCCTCCACCATGTTGAGATGGTGACCCAATGCCATCATTACCTACAGGAAAGCAGAAAACAATGGAGGGAATAGCATGAAGGAAACGCGCACTTAAAGGAAAAGATAGCACAATCGGTTTTACCATTAAATCCAATGTATAATATTGATGTGCACCAACATTTTCATCAGACATCATTGGCTTTACAAGATAAATAGCAAGACACTAGCAACAGTATGGTGCTGTGAAGTTGTTGTTTCTCTCTCCCTCCCCTCCCCCCCCCCCCCCCGCCCCCTTCTCTCTCTTCAAGTGGAATATAAAATGTATGAGAGGTCAAAATGATTCATATGCAACTTGCATACAGTTACGTTTAAATTCATTTTAAATGATGAAAAGGATTTGAAAACATCTCATATACATGAATATACCTTTTTTGATGCAAGTAAAAATAATATGAGACTATGTATCTAACATGATTCATTTTAAGTTCCTAAATTGTCACTTACAAGTACATGTATGATAGAGATTATCTCCTTTCATCCCATTTTCTTCCTCCATCTTTTCACAATCCCTTGCTCTCACTCATTTCCTCCCACCTCACCACTGCCCTCTCTCTCTCTCTCTCTCTCTTGCTCTCTTTTTCTCTTTATCTCTCTCCACCCCTCCTCTCTCCTACATGTACATGTAGCCTCTATTCCTCTTCCTCCCTCCATAACACTTGTGTAAATGGCAAATTTCTTTTCTGATGAATGCAAACACAGAAATAAGAAAGGCAAGCCCTGTGGGCATGTTATTTATCCTCTCCAATGCCTCCGGTTTTGCCGACTTCGTCCCATACATTGTTGTATAGCCTGAAACTGGAGGAGACCCAGAGGCGATAATAGTATAGTAGAGAAGTACTATGCTTCATGATGATGTGAATAATTAACCTCATTCATGGAAAGAACAAAAAAAGGAAAATCCGAAGGAGCGAGATTGTAGTGGTGGTTCAGGTTATTCTTAGCATGCCTTGGAGTATGCTTGGCAAGCATTTGTTCAGCCTGATCTCCTCTAACTTACAGACCGGCTCACTTCTCTCATGTCAATCATCACACATTGTCATACAAGCCTCTCGATTTCCAGTCATTGATGCATATTCATGTATTATTTGACCAGATAATTGTTTGATAATAAATCTGAATTAATATGCAAAGCTGTTCCCCATGGTATTTTCCTTTTTTTAATCATTCCACATCAGTCTTTAGGAGGAATAGAGCAAGAATCCTTTTTTACATTGTAGCTCCCTGATCATATATTTATGAAGTAGGATCATAATTGTATTTCCATAATTAGCAGGATAGACATATCATAATCCTTACATAGTTCGGCAGCAGACAGGGCAAACATTTTGTATGTTACAGATATGAATTCTGTTATAGTAGTTAAAAGAGTTTCATTCCATAAATTATGCATAAAGTTAACTCCTACCCCTACGTCTGAGAGATCTCCTGGTAATGAATATCAAACCACTGGCCATGGCACAAGCAGCTCACATTCAATAGACTCTCAATTTACATGAAAATAATAATGAAAAATATTATATAGAGATAGTTAACTCTAGACCAATACCAAAGCCAATACACAGGTTCAGCATGTCTTTTCTTCAATTTCCCCGGGGGGCATGAGGCCATTAAAGCTCATTAATGATGAGCTTATTCCTATGACATTCACACGTACTGTATCACTCTCATCTTGGGTACTACGCATCTTCAGATATTTGCTCAAATTAGATTTTTGCACCAAGCTAGCCTACATGTAGCATCCATCCATGGGCTCAGGAAGACTTAAATGACAAAAGAGATCTGGTGACATTCAGTCCCATGCAGTTTACTCAATAGAGACAGTGAAGTTGCAGTAGGATATGAGAGGACAGAGAGGGGGAGGGCAAGAATGCAAGGCAAATAGCAGAAAATGAGAAAAGGAAAGAGCTACTGTAGATGAAAAGCAGAACATGAGGAAAGGAAAGAGCTACTGTAGATGAAAAGCAGAACATGAGGAAAGGAAAGAGCTACTGTAGATGAAAAGCAGAACATGAGGAAACGAAAGAGCTACTGTAGATGAAAAGCAGAAAATGAGGAAAGGAAAGAGCTACTGTAGATGAAAAGCAGAACATGAGGAAAGGAAAGAGCTACTGTAGATGAAAAGCAGAAAATGAGGAAAGGAAAGAGCTACTGTAGATGAAAAGCAGAACATGAGGAAAGGAAAGAGCTACTGTAGATGAAAAGCAGAAAATGAGGAAAGGAAAGAGCTACTGCAGATGAAAAGCAGAACATGAGGAAACGAAAGAGCTACTGTAGATGAAAAGCAGAAAATGAGGAAAGGAAAGAGCTACTGTAGATGAAAAGCAGAAAATGAGGAAAGGAAAGAGCTACTGTAGATGAAAAGCAGAACATGAGGAAAGGAAAGAGCTACTGTAGATGAAAAGCAGAACATGAGGAAAGGAAAGAGCTACTGTAGATGAAAAACAGAAAATGAGGAAACGAAAGAGCTACTGTAGATGAAAAACAGAAAATGAGGAAAGGAAAGAGCTACTGTAGATGAAAAACAGTGAGTATGGTGGACACAATGCTGAAATGTGTATAAGCAGGAATAAATACAGAAACTGAAGGGTAAGGGAACAAGTGGTGCACTTCTCGCAAGAATGGCCACCTTAGGCATCAATCAAATTGAGACAGGAGAGATAATCATTCCACATGCATGGCACAGTCTGAATGTACACATCCATGTGAAGCACCATATTGAAGGCTTTTAGTGTAATGAATGTGTCTGGTTTTGCAGTGAGCTGTGGTTGATGGCTTTGCATGGGTTAGGCAGGGTAACTTATCCTGAAACCATCCGTCCATCTGTCTGTCTCCTTGCCAACAGGTTACCTAGGAATGAGTGATGAACATGCTGGACGAGGCATGGAGGCACAGAGAGAGCAGACTGGTTTGGCATCTCATTGCCCAGAAGCTAATAAGGAGGAGTACAGCCCATGGTATTGCATCCATTGACCAACCAATCAACATACACACACAAACATGGTGAAAAAGAGGACCTTAATTAACCATGTTGGTAATACAATTTCGTAGATGTTATTTACAGATCTAACTCATTCCCTCATTCTTAAACAATATTGTGGAACGATACCCAAACAATATCATCATTGAATAACTTTGCAACATTTAAAAATAACCTTTGCAACATAGATATATACTTGAAGCATTTCTTTTTCATCTCTGCCAAAAAAGATATGTCTATTTGAAGCATCCCCTCCCCCCCCCCCCCATACCTCACAAAAAAGTAAAGTGCATAAACTTATTAGGAATTCCATGGGTCACATCTAAAAATATAAAAAAAGTGGGTCAATTCAAATGATTGATTTTTCAAAACCACTTGTTCTTCAGAATAAATTACAAAAATTCACAAGAATTACTGCTCATAAAACAGAAATGAAAATATTCAGAACAGGAGTATACTGTAGGCATAATAAATTCATGCCATTTTTCAATACTTGAAGCTTAAGCACTAAGAAAGTACTTGTATTGCTTGGGCAGAATCAATCATTGTAAATGTAATTGAGCGAAACAACATTGTTCGGACGTGAGGACTGAGTCCTTTTCTCATTTACTTGCAAATGTGAAGAGAGTTTGTGGGTACATACAGTACATGATTGTCAGTCCCTTGGGCAGAGGCCTCAGAATAAAGGGGGTTGCCTGAGCATAATGCACAAATCATGCATGCAAGGAGTGCGCAGAGACTATGAATGAATAATCCATTTTATCTATGAAAAGTTCAGGAATTAAAATATCTTTAATAAAATTTATTGTAAACAATTGATTGACATGGAACAGCTTGCAAGATGAGCTCAAACTTTGACATCTTTACCATAATATATTTGCTTTTAACGAGACATCTTTTTATATGCATAGTAAAGAAGTTTACTTTGAATGATTCTGAAGTTTAAAAAAATTAGATCTAATTATCCATAGATCCATGTAGTAATATTGCTTGCTTTATTGTCTAAGTTTGCTTTATCAAAGCACATAGTTATGCACATGGAGTCAAACTCTCCCTATTCCATTAGACCTACACGTACAGCTACAACGATTGAAGAAGTTTCTACTTGCAAATCGCTACGAGTTAGCCGACGGCAGAGGCCTGATTATGTGGCCACATCTAGAGGGCTGCATGGTAATTTGTGTGGAGCACTACTTGTCTCCTTCAATAGTGCTGCCTTCTCAACATAAAAAGAAGAGCTCTTCTCTTGACCATGTTCTCGCAATTTCTGTAACTGCTTTTCCCTTCTAAAATTTGATTCTAGCGCACTTTCGTGAGATGGAATTACGGAGGGCTGAGGTTGCACTTTTGAGAAGATTACAAAGGTTACTTGTCATCAGGGAGTAGAGAAAAGACAGACATTAATTCTCAAATGTGCCTTCATGTACTGTATGTCCATGTAATGCCACAATAGAAAGACTTAAACTAATCACATCCCAATGGAAGTGTAAATCACACAGTATCAGATATCGTGTGAAATACCATTACTCTCCGCAACTGTGAATGGTTATTAACTTCTATCGGTCCTATTACTTTTATACCATTACTTACACATGCAGCTCTTTCAGATATTCCATTCCTGCATAAAATCTTAATTCCATGCCAATTTTAGAATCTAGAAGTAATATGACTTTTTGTTCTGAACTAATAGTCTGTACATGCTGTAAAGTAACAGAAAATTCAATTTCCTTTCTCAAGTTCAAGTTCATATTTATACAAATGACGCCTGCTGTAGCCATATTCAAGGTGCATCCTATCTTTGAAATAATATAGTGCTGCCTGCGCATTTTCATACAATGTCATACATTTGATTAGATGACGTGAGGTCTGGCCATGATTCATGTTCATTCCTATTAATCTACTGTTGATGTAGACTCATTCTACAGTTGGTTTGGATAGTCGGCAAAGTATGACTCACATGTATAACAGTATACTTAATAACGTGCAGATTAGGTGTGGCTCAAGGAGCAAACTGCCTCATGGG